CTTCTCACTAAATTTTTTGTTTTGGACAATATGGTTATTTTTCATAAAAACCACATTATTTGTAACTTGTAATGAGCTTATTACTTTTAAATGTATTAACACATATTTTCAAAATTTTCAGTTTTAATTTTTAATAAGGTAGCATCAATAGATGAAGCATCTATACTTAGACGAATCTCTTTTCGGTCCTCAATAATAAATCAGATTTTGAGACCTAAAAGCTTAAGAAATGTGCTCTATCATCACATCAGTACATTCTATTGCTTTTGTGGCACTTGCTGCCATCAGAAATTCTTACTCAGTTATGTTTACTTATTTACTGTCCAGCTTAATTAGAACAGAAGCTCAGAAAGAACAGCAACCTTGTCCATCTTACTATTACGTCCCCAGTGCCTAAAATCTGACTGAGCATTTAGTAGGTGTTCAGTATGATTCTGATGAATAGAATGAATGTAATGAGTACACAACATATTTAGCCACAGACAAAAGATGAACCATTTAACATTTTTCTTTTCAAGACGGGGTTTCACCATGTTGGTCAGGCTAGTCCGGAACTCCTGGCCTCAGGTGATGCGCCTGCCTTGGCCTCCAAAGTGCTTGGATTACAGGCGTGAGCTACCATGCCCAGCCATTTTTTTTTTTTTTTTTTGAGACAGAGTCTTGCCCTGTCACCCAGGCTGGAGTACAGTGGCACAGTCTTGGCTCACTGCAACCTCTGCCTCCCAAGTTCAAGTGGCCTCAGACTCCTGAGTAGCTGGGATTACAGGTATGAGCCACTACACCTGGCTAATTTTTATATTTTTAATAGAGATAGTTTCACCATGTTGGTCAGGCTGGTCTCGAACTCCCTACCTCATGATCCGCCCATCTCAGCCTCCCAAAGTGCTGGAATTACAGGTGTGAGCCACCGTGCCCAGGTGAACCAGTTTTAATTTATGGGACATACATATTATCCTTTCATCAATTTGCAGTTTTAGGATAAGAATAAAATAATACCACTGAGGGAAGTTCCAGCAGGCAAGTATCATGTCTACTCTGTGGGGTCTGCTCTCTCCTGACGGCCTCTAGCGGGCTGTAGCCACCTCCACCTCATGGAAGCCCCGTAGGCTATCAGGACTTCTGCATGTTTCCTAAAGTTGAAGATGTCCAGCAGTGACAGGGAGGCCAACTTAAGCGCTATTACCCTCTGAATTAGTAGATATTAATGTGGTTGAGTCAAACTTCTTGAGGTCACTTTGTTTCTAGTTTCTGGAGCTAAACTTTTCATATTTTTATATCCCATTGACCAATAAAATGAAAAATGTACTTGAATCCTGTGTTTACAGTACCACTTACCTTACCTAAGGAAATTCTCTTAGAATCTATATTCTCTTATTAAAATTGTTTCAATTAATCTAGTTTCCCAGTCCAAAGGGCATTAGAAACATTGAAAAGAATGAGAAAACGAAAGGAAGCTGGGTTAAGCTTAACATCAGTTAACAGCACATATCAAAAGATTACAACAAGCAATAAAAGAAAATACAGACAGAGCAGAAATGATAGCTCATAGGCACCGAAGCTAGGACCATTTAGAGTAGGAATAGTTAGTTATATACTCCTCAAACTCACCTGAAAGCATCCATACTACACTGCAGTATGATAATACTTATAAGAGAAATCCTGGCTGGGTGCACTGGCTCACGCCTGTAATCCCAACAGTTTGGGACACCAAGGCGGGTGGATCACTAGGTCAGGAGTTCAAGATCAGCCTGGCCAAGATGGGGAAACCCCATCTCTACTAAAAATAAGCTGGGCGTGGTGACAGGTGCCTGTAATCCCAGCTACTCAGGAGGCTGAGGCAGAGAACTGCTTAAACCTGGGAGGGGGAGGTTGCAGTGAGCTGACAGTGCGCCACTGCACTCTAGTCAGGGTGACAGAACAAAACTCCATCTCAAAAAAAATAATAATAAAAATAGAAATCCAAAATCAAATGATTATGATATTATATTCTATCTAAGAAGTAACAACAGATACAGATGATAACAATAACTATGCTGCTTAGTTACCCTGAACTGAGGTACCACCTTAGTTCCAGCACCATTGCACTCCAGCCTGGTATTATTATCCATTATTTTAAATTGCATTTTAGGTTTTGGGGAACATGTGAAGAACATGTAAGATTGCTGCATAGGTATACACATGGCAGTGTGGTTTGCTGCCTTCCTTCCCCATCACATGTATCTGGCATTTCTTCCCATATTATAACTCCCCAATTCCCCATCCCCCCACTGTCCCTCCCCTACTTCACCCCCCACAGACCCGTGTGTGATGCTCCCCTCCCTGTGTCCATGTGTTCTCATTGTTCAACACCCGCCTATGAGTGAGAACATGCGGTGTTTGATTTTCTGTTCTTGTGTCAGTTTGCTGAGAATGATGGTTTCCAGGTTCATCCATGTCCCTACAAAGGACACAAACTCATTGTTTTTTATGGCTGCATAGCATTCCATGGTGTATATGTGCCACATTTTCCCTGTCCAGTCTATCATCGATGGGCATTTGGGTTGGTTCCAAGTCTTTGCTATTGTAAACAGTGCTGCAATGAACATTCATGTGCATGTGTCCTTATAGTAGAACGATTTATAATCCTTTGGATATATACCCAGTAATGGGATTGATAGGTCAAATGGAATTTCTATTTCTAGGTCCTTGAGGAATCGCCACACTGTTTTCCACAATGGTTGAAATAATGTACACTTCCACCAATAGTGTAAAGTGTTCCTATTTCTCCACATCCTCATATATGTCTTTTGTAAAATGTCTGTTCATACCCTTCACCCATGTTTGAATGGGCTTTTTTTTTCTTGTAAATCTGTTTTAGTTCTTATCAGCCCTTTGTCAGATGGGCAGACTGCAAAAATCTTTTCCCATTCTGTTAGTTGCCGATTCACTCTAATGACTGTTTCTTTTGCTGTGCAGAAGCTGTGGAGTTTGATTAGTTCCCATTTGTCTATTTTGGCTTTTGTTGCCAGTGCTTTTGGTGTTTTGGTCATGAAGTCCTTGCCTATGCCTGTGTCCTGAATGGTTTTGCCTGGGTTTTCTTCTAGGGTTTTTATGGTGTTAGGTCTTATGTTTAAGTCTTTAATCCATCTGGAGTTAATTTTAGTGTAAGGTGTCAGGAAGGGGTCCAGTTTCTGCTTTCTGCACATGGCTAGCCAGTTTTCCCAACACCATTTATTAACGAGGGACTCCCCTCATTGCTTGTTTTTGTCAGGTTTGTCGAAGATCAGATGGTTGTAGACATGTGGTGTTGCCTCCGAGGCCTCTGTTCTGTTCCATTGGTCTGTATCTCTGTTTTGGTATTATTAATGGTATGTCATATGTACATATTTTTTTGAGATGGAGTCTCACTCTGTTGCCCAGGCTGGAGTGCAATGGCATGGTCTCAGCTCACTGCAACCTCTGCCTCCTGGGTTCAAGCAATTCTCCTGCCTCAGCCACCCGAGTAGCTGGGATTATAGGTGCCTGCCACCCGCCCAGCTTATTTTTATATTTTTTAGTAGAGACAGCATTTCACCATGTTGGGCAGGCTGGTCTCAAACTCCTGACCTTGTGATCTACCCGCCTCGGCCTCACAAAGTGCCGGGATTACACGTGTGAGCCACCACGCCCGGCCCGGTATGTCATACGTTTTACTGTTAAGTACTTACATGTGTGTAAGTGTAAAAAAATGGCTGCTTACTGTTAGCATATAAATTCAGAGTCAGGAATGATGATGATGCCAAAGAACCACAGACTGTGCCATTGGTGGCTGAGACAGCAACATCTTTGCCTTCTGACAGTTCAATATACACAAATTTCATTCAATGCACAAATTTAAAATATTGTATAAAATTACCTTCAGTCTATATATCCACATATATATGGTGTATATAAAACATAAATTAATTTCATATTTAGACATGAGTCCCATCTCCAAGATATCTCATTATGTACATGTGAATATTCCAAAATTAAAAAAAAAAATCCAAACGCTGAAACACTTCATATTCCAAACATTTTGGGTAATGATTCTAAACCTCTACAATTTACTTAGAGAAACAAAGACCAGATCACGAATGTCCTTTGTGTTACAAGAAGAGACTACACTGAAGATGTAAAGTAGAGATGATGTTTAAAAAGTACAGTAAGGCTACTGCTAAAATTACGAAGACTAAAAATCACAAAGACTATGACCAACTTCTTCAAGAAAGAATGGAAATCAGAACTGATTCATAAACAATTTAAGGAGTTGAACAAGATTTAGTGGAAAATGATGGTTTAGGGAAGAGAGGGCAAGACACAGTGGGATGAAAGCCAGGTTTTGGACTGTGGTGACTGGGTAGATGGAGATACTTGGCATGAATACAGAGAACACAGAAAGAAAACCAGGAGGGGTATCCTGCCTGCAAGATTGTGGGGGAAGCACTGATTTCAAGAATCAGGTAACTGTGACACTTGTATCTATCTCTCAAGCTGCCTGCCTGGCCTTCTTTCAAGTATACTTTACTTCCTTTTGTTCTTGCTCTAAAATATTTTAATAAACTTTCAGTCCTGCTCTCAGCCAACCAACCAACCAAGCAGATAACTGGTAACTATAATCCTAGCACTTTGGGAGGCTGAGGCAGGAAGATCGCTTGAGGTTAGGCATTTGAGACCAGCCTGGGTAACATAGCACAAACTTGTCTCTACAAAAATAATTAATAATAAATAAGAATCAGGTAAAGCACTTCAAGAAGAAATAAACTCAATTTAAATAAACTCAAAACCTGAGAAAAGTTACAAATCTACTTGTTAGATGAAAGTACAGAAGAAAAAACGTGTTGCGACAGCAGCATATGCCACTTTTTTAGATGTTATTTTTAAAACCCAAAATAAACCCAAATTGGGACTTACTGATTTCTCATATAAACTGTCTTACACTTGCTAATTAAGAGACTTCAAATATAAATAAAGCCAAATCCATACCTTTTCTGCTTTTTTGTCAGAAATGTCTTGCTTTTCCAGAACGGCCATGCTTTCCTTCAGATTCTTCACAATGTCTGCTGGAGATTTGTGAGACTTCCCGAACGGGAACGGCATGACGGCAGGGGCAGGGGCCTCCGCTGCACTCCGCCTGTGCTACCTGGAACACAGCACAAGACTCATGTGAGCAAACACTGGAATCAAGAGAAGATAGACTTTGTAAATCCTCATCTGGGAAGAAAACCTGTTTGGGAAAGTCATTTTACATAATTTTCAAAATAAGGAGGAATAGGGAAATCCACGAATATATGCAAGAAATGATAATACAGATTGCTTAGAATTATAGAACACTGTATTTTTCAAAACAATTTTATTTTTCTTTTCATTCGAATCAACTCCTCTCCTAACCACCAAAATGAGGACAAACATGCTGACTGCCACTGCTGAGGTAGGGAGCAGTGGCTCCCACTCACAGGGCAACTGCTACTGCCAGGCCTGATGCTGACTACTAGAATTCATCATCTCATGGAACCCTTTCTAACAATCTCCTGCTCCTCACTACCGGTGAAGTCTAGCAAGGTTGAGAGTCAGGTTCAAGGTACTAAGTGGTCAAACAAGCTTAGGTCTGTCTCCATCACCACACTTTACCTCGAATTGACAGGTATCTATTATATAGCTGAGGCAACTGAGGCAAAAAGTTAGGTAAGGTGTTTAGCCAAACACCACTGGCAACAGCCTACTATCTACGTCTCTCCAGATGCTCTTTTCCTGGTGTTCACGCTGCTCCTCCTAAGCACCCCAGGGGGGTGCCCCGAATATGGCACATACTTCCTCAGCACACCCATCCTCTTATTCAGGCAGTCATAGGGTCTCAGAGCTAGAGAGAAGCCTGGATGGTGGCAAAAACCTCTTGTTAGATTCTCTAATTTCCTATGTGACAGTTGTCAACACGTACTCTCTTTGCCTGGATTTGACCATCTCCTATGAAAGAACTCACTGGGCCGGGTGCGGTGGCTCACACCTGTAATCCCAGCACTTTGGGAGGCCGAGGCGGGTGGATCACGAGGTCAAGAGATTGAGACCATCCTGGTCAACATGGTGAAACCCCGTCTCTACTAAAAATACAAAAAAATTAGCTGGGCATGGTGGCATGTGCCTGTAATCCCAGCTACTCAGGAGGCTGAGGGAGGAGAATTGCCTGAACCCAGGAGGCGGAGGTTGTGGTAGCCGAGATCACACCATTGCACTCCAGCCTGGGTAACAAGAGCAAAACTCCGTCTCAAAAAAAAAACCCCAAAAAAACAAAAAAACAAGAAGAAAGAACTCACTGAATAAAACTCTGGATGATGAACTTCTGGAAGTTCTTAATTTTTTGAGGGCAGTAGAAAACAACATTTCAACCACATAAACCACAGTATGACATCATCTAAAAGGAGGACATGCAACTGTTCCAAAAAGGCACTATGAAGAAACAAAGTTAACAAGACAAACAATGGAAGTGACTTGGGAACATGCTGGAAGTTACCATTTTTCAGTAGAAAAACTATGAGAAGTTAAACTCACAGGCACTAAACAGTCTCATATCAGACACCAAAAGATGATACTTCTCAGAAAAACCTTATGGATCACTTAGATCACTGGTTTTCAGACTGTTTCAACACGCTTTACTTAACTGCCCAGGTGCTCCCCACAAACACCCAAGTAAGAAGAGGTGGCTCTCAGACACCAACCCTACTGTTTTCCTTCTACAGAAACACAAAAATACCTCCATGGCATAGTATCATAACACTGCTTATAAGCTTTGCTTAAGATTTCATTTGATGAAAAAACTGGAGTGTTCTTTTCCCTTAAGTTTGAAATAGTGACTTACATATTTGTTTATAAAGAATAAATGTTTAAAACATGCAAATGAATGCAATGTTAAGCCTACAACTAAATCATAAACAAGTATGTTATTTCTCAACATGTTCTGATGTGAACTGTTCTGACCAATCTCTAACCCCCAAATATTGCCTACCTCACCTTGTCACCTTGTAAATCCTTTTTAGATAAAATTAAAACTACATTTTAATTAACCAAAGAAAAACAGTCTAATGCATGTCCTTTGTCTTAGGTTCTTAAATATCCAAGGATTTTTGGTTTTGTTTTGAAGACAGTCTTGCTGTGTCAGCCATGTTTGGGTGCAGTAGTGTGATCTTGGCTCACTGTAACCTCCACCTCCCAGGTTCACGTGATTCTCATGCCTCAGCATTAGCCTCCCAAGTAGCTGGGACTATAGGTGTGTGCCACCACACCCAGCTAATTTTTTATATTTTTAGTAGAGATAGGTTTTCACCATGTTAGCTAGGCTGGTCTCAATTCTTGGCCTCAAAGGATCCACCCACCTCAGCCTCTCAAAGTGCTGGGATTACAGGTGTGAGCCACCATGCCCAGCCATAAAATCCAAGGATGTTTAAGTCCACTTCTAAATAACTTTTCTATTCCTAGAAGTTTGAACTGACATTAGGGGAGTCACTCTCAACTAGCTATCATATGATCGCTCTACAACCTAGATGGGACACAAAGCCTGGATCATTCTTTTCCATTACTTTTTCCTTTGGGCAGGGGGGCATGAATGTTGCTTCTCCAAAAACAGTGGATCCCACTCTCAGTATGTCTTCTGAAAATATTATCTTTCCTATCTGTAACTCTGCAAATAATAGCAGTGATGTGGAGGGTGGGAATGTTTAGCGGTATTTTGCAGGAAGTGTTATGGTGCTATGCAACAGAGATATTTTCAGCTCTGGCTCAATGGTGAAAGGGATGTGACTTTCCAGGGTAACAGAGGTGTTAAAAGTCCTATCACACACCAAATGCCGGTTATAGCAGAAAGAGTACAGCCACCAAAGAGAACACATAAATAGTGGGAAAGGGGAGGCATGACATAATCATTTCTGTTAATATACCAGGCAGCTAAGATTTTACAGAATATATGAACTAGTAAGAACGTATTCGGAAGAAATACAGGCCAGGCAATGTGGCTTACATCTGTAATCTCAGCATTTTGGGAGTCTGAGATTGGGGGATTGCTTGAGGTCAGGAGTTTGAGATCAGCCTCAGCAACACAGTGAGACCCTGTCTCTACAAAAAATTTAAAAATTAACTGGACCTGGTGGTGCATGCCTGTGATCCCAGCTAGCTACTCGGGAGGCTGGCTGGAGAATCACTTGAGCTCAAGAGGTGGTGAGTGTGCCACTGCACTCCAGCCTGAGTGACAGAGTGACAACCTGCCTTAAAAAATTTAAATAAGAAGGAAAAGAAACACAGTAAACTACCCAAAACAAGAAGTGACATTCCTCAGCAGAATCCAATCACACTGGTAAAGTTAATAAATCATTTTTCATGACTTAGTTTTAAAAATACAGTTAAAGGCTGGGCGCGGTGGCTCATGCCAGTAATCTCAGCATTTTGGGAGGCCAAGGTGGGAGGATCCCAGCACTTTGGGAGGCTGAAGTGGGAGGATCACAAGGTCGGGAGTTTGAGACCGGCCTGACCAACATGGTGAAACCCCCGTCTCTACTAAAAATACAAAAATTAGCCGGGCAAGGTGGCATGTGCCTGTAATCCCAGCTACTCAGGAGGCTGAGGCAGGAGAATTGCTTGAACTCAGGAGGCGGAGGTTATAGTGAGCTGAGATCCCACCACAGCACTCTAGCATGGGTGACAGAGTGAGACTCTGTCTCAAAAAAAAAAAAAAACTTATTTATTTTTAAAGTATGAGTGTAATAATTCTCAACAATCATTTATGTCCTCAGGCTCATCAACTCTTAAAACAGTTACCCAAGATTTTTGGTAGGCACAAACAAGGAAATATCACTCCCCAAAAGTGATATTTCTGCATGACATGATTGGTGTCATGCAGATTGGTGATACTTCTGCATGATTTTCTGCATGACAACATTTGTTTCTTATGTTCAGGTTTGCTAAGTATTAAGCTTAAATGTCTTACACAGTCATGCAGCTGCCTGATATGGTTTCAGTCAATGATTGACTGCATTATATGACAGTGGTCCCATAAGATTATAGTGGAGCTGAAAAATTCCTATCATTTAGTGCTTTGTGTTACAAATACCTACAGTATTCAACACAGTAACATGCTATACAGGTTTACAGCCTAGACAAGCTATATCACATAGATTACTATGTAGTTGGCTACACTATCTAGGTTTGTGTTAGTACTGTACACTCCATGATGTTTGCACAATGACAAAATTGCCTGGTGCATTTCTCAGAATGTATCCCAGCTGTTAAGCAACACAGGAGTTAATTCCTTCACAGGATAATGCGTGACCTTCAGTCAATGCTCAAATGATACCAAAGGCACCTTTAAGAGTGAACTCTTCAGCTGGTACTGATTTCTCCCAGGGTGGGAACATTGCCTTCCAAAGGGCCTGGTCCACCATCAAGCCATTCCGAATACTCTGTTACCTTGAAGGATGTGAAGCACATGGGCACATATCTGAGTTTTGAAACTGACAATCCCTAGAGTATGGAGATGTCCAAGTTGGAAGCAGCAATGGTTCTAGAAGGGTTACAGTGGTATAAAGATATATTTCACCGTAACAATCCACCTGCCTTTCTCATCTCCCCTTGATCATCAGCAGTATTTCCTTTTATACATATTTAGAAGAATTTAAGGGAATGTAACAAGAATCCACTGGTTAAGATCTTCAATAGCTTTTCACTTCCCTTAGAATAAAATCCAAATTCCTTGACCAAAAACCCCAAAAACAAATGCAATAAAAGCAAAGATAAATACGTGGAGCTTAATTAAACTAAAGTGCTTTTGCATAGCAAAAGGAAACAGTCAGCAGAGTAAACAGAGAACACACAGAGTGGAAGAAAATCTTCACAATCTATACATCTGACAAAGGACTAATATTCAGAATCTACAACAAACTCACACAAATCAGTAAGAAAAAAACAAACAATCCCATCCAAAAGTGAGCTAATGACATGAATAGACAATTCTCAAAAGAAGATATACAAATGGCCAACGAATGTAAGAAAAAATGCTCAACATCACTAATGATCAGGGAAATGCACACCAAAGCCACAATGTGATACCACCTTCTTGCTGCAAGAATGGCCATAATCAAGAAATCAAAAAATAGATGTTGG